TTTGTTTTTTTTTTATTTTTTAATAATTTTAAATTGTGTTATTTCCCACCCCAAACTTCCACGCCCCCGCCTTTCGTGCGGGGGGAATTCTGGGAGTTGAGGTCCACACATCTTACAGTTGCCAAGATTGGAAAAATGCTGTTTTACAGGATCAGTTTTAATCAAGAGGCCCTTTTCAACTCTGGCAGTGAGCTAATGAACTGATCGTAAGTCAGATCACCCAAGTAAACATATCCGGACATGTATATGTGCACGCCTGGATCCGCTGCACAAGAATTTACATCGAGACGTGAGCCATATGGAAAGAATCTAAGCATCTGCTTCAAGAGCTCTCGCTGGAAATCTGCACACTTAGGTTAGCTCATAGGCCACGCCACCATCTCTCAGACAAAACCTAGTTTGGTTGTACCCCTTTTAAAGAAAGGGCAGCCCCCCCATCTGCTAATCAAATAAATAAACCAGCCTACCTCACAGGGATGTTGCAAAGAGAAAGGAGGGGCGGGGAAGGAAAATCTTTTATGACACCTTAACCAGTTAGCCAGAAAGGGGAAAAGGATATACATATATTTACATATGGAGAGTATTAAGCTCATAAATCATGGCTTTTGAATGCAGGAACCTGCTTCCTGCAGGAGCCAAACAGGTCACTTGTGGATATATTCATTTGCAGGACATGAACAGAGAAACATTTGCATGAATCTTCAGATTTGCTGGTACCGAAAAATACTCTGCCTACAATAAAGGCAGAATATATACTTACTGGGGCTTACCCCAGACCGTCTAAATGGGTGCCAGTTGCCAACCATTTAAGACACAGTCCTACAGTTTATCCAGATGCTGAGCATGGAATCGATATAAAACAAACCTGTTTTTGGCTTCCATCAGCATGGCTGACACAATCTTGACCTTTAATTTTTAAAAGCCCAGAGAGGTGGGAAGGGGAAAAAATTAATTTTAATACAATTCCCCGCTGTCAAGGATCATAAAACATGCCCCACCCCCGAGCATCAAGAATTCACACTTGATGTAATCCACCCAAAGTTGCTAGGAGTTGGGTGGTATATAAATTTAATAATAATAATAATAATAATAATAATAATAATAATAATAATAATAATAATAA